GGTCAATTTATATTCATGTTAGAAGATTTATTTTGCCATGCCTTAAAAGGAGTGAAGGAAAACTAGTCGTTAATCCTTCTCAAACCTTTGTTATACGAGTTATATAACTAATAATTGATATTTTTGTATTATTATATTAGGTTTTTAGTGAATAGATAAAGTTATCTATTATTGTAGGGCAATTCAAATTTGAGTTTCTAAATGAACCCTACACCAATTGAGTACACAATTTTTAGGTGCAAGTGGAACCTAAATTTGACCCCAAAATAAAGGAGAAGCCATTTCAAACTTGAAGTTTATATGGTTAAGGGGCAATAGAAAGACCATGTTTTTATGTAATAATTTAAAATACAACATGTAAAGGGTAAAGCTAAAAATAAAAAATAAAAGTTCTTTGAGCTTTTTCTTTATTTATCCATTTTCTTATACTAATCTTATTATAATTATCCATATGTATGCTGATAGTGTAAATCTTCTTTATACTATATATGCATTTTAACATATTAATGTGTTTTAGTACGTAACTTGCTAATTTTTTTTTGCTATTTATGAACAATTATTTATTTAAAATTATTTTTTTAAATAGATGACCCGATAATATAGATATATATCATAATCATTCCTACATAGGACAAGAAAAAAAAGCATGTCTTAAGGTAGAACTATACTAATAATATAATAGAAAGCATAAATAAAGGAATTAAGCATTACATATATTTTTGGAAAGTAGAGATAAACATGTTTATGAACTATCAAATCATGAAAACAAGAAATTAACTAATTAATTTGAAAAAAATAATTCGAGACAACCTTAATGTACCTCAAAAAGGAAGAAGAGAAGCCAAATGAATTATGCACTAGATATATGCAATTACTCCTTTTAAGTTCTAAACTCCAATTTGTATCAATTTATATCCATGAAAAAGAATAAACATAGAATCAGATTCAATATAATCCCATCACATTATTAATTCTATGAATGAATAGTGGCCAAAAATATTCACATCATTATATTATTTAATCATAAGATAATAACAACTTATAAATGTTAATTAGTAACGTGATAAAAATAATAATCCCATTAAATATAAGTTATAGTTTAAGTCCTCTTGAGGATCACTTCTTTTTTTGGGTTGGGGGTTGGGGTGGTGCCCTCTTGAAAATAAATTATTCTAAACAAGATGAAGCTACATATATACAATATTAACAACTGGTTCATATGAACCCACTAACTTTTGTTTTTATATATCCTATATTCATATTTAGAAAATTCATTAATTAAATATAAATATTTAATTACGAATCTAGTAATAGTTAATACAAGCTATAGATCCGATAATATTAACTAGCTAAGAAAATTCAGAACCTCATAAATTTTAACACTCCCAATTCTACCTTTAAGGAGTGAAACTAGTGTTTCAAGGCACAAATTTAACCGAATTCAATAACTTTCACCCGCCGTCTAACTTAATTATATTCTACATGAATATGAATATGTGCTCGTGTGTTACATATGACATATTGATACTTATATATATATATATATATATATATATTTAATAATAAACGAATAACATCAGCATCAGTACTATACTATAAAAATTAAATTCATAGAAGAATCTAGGGTTTCATCATCATATTCCATTAACACCCAAAAATAAAAATTGTTTCATAAAGAGGGAAAAATAAAAAGAATAATATCCCTATCAAACGCGGAACCAAATATCCTTTTGTCCTCACGAATAACACTAATATTATGTGAATCCGATTCAATTCCCATATATGTTTCACTTTTTTTATAAATATTAGCTATACTTTGTTCATATAGAATTTTCCTTATTATTAGTAATCTAATGCAAAATAGTTAATTCCAGCCCTATGAGCATGTTCACATTATCGATCTCAAATTTGAATTAAGGAAAAGAATTGTCGAAGGTCAATTAGAAGCTACAAATATCTTACAATTACAATGACGTTGTTGTTGTTGATATTGGTTACGTTGTTCTTATAACATGTCTGATTTGATATAACTATGTAAATTTTTACCGTACCAAATCGTATAAATTACCATAGCTAAGTAATTTCATGAGGTGAGCATGCATGTTAACGACAAACTAAACAATTAATATATGAATTTAATCATCCCCAACAAATAATAAGCAAAACATAAGAAAAATATGAAATTAAAAAAGAAAAAATTACCTTAAAAAAATTAGAGCTTGAAATTGATTTGAGAGTTCTTGTTTTTCAACCTCACAAAATTGCTTGTAATCACAAATTCACAAAAAAAAAAAAAGATTATAAAACCTAAGGTACCAAATATAAATAGCTATTACAATTGGAAAAAAGATAACGAATCTCAATTCTAACCAAGAAAGGAACAAATAAAACAAGGAAAATAAGGAAAAGTCCTTATTCGAAAAGGAAAATAAGGAAAAGTCCTTATTCGAAAAGGAAAATAATCATCGAACGTAAAAGTTTATCATAAAAGGGAACTAAATATCTATCCCTTCTTGGAAATAAATTATAAACAAATAGTGACTACAAAAAAAAATAAAAATGAAAATTTGGTCGTTAAAAGTCTTAATCCAATCGTTAATTATTGGAATATTTTTTTTCACTATAAATATATTTATAACGACTGAATTCATCTACCTTCGTTAAAAAAATGATTAAAAGTTGAGTTTTAATTTTTAATTTTTATTTTAATTTTTTTGTGCACCTATTGTACGTGACATTGCTTTAAAAATACACCATTCACAATCAGAAGGGTCACCAATAATGAAGAAGTGTCCCTTGAACAGAATATAGTTCTTCTAAGTATCGGAGAGTTTATTTTTTTTATTTCTTCTTTTAACTCCTTTTTAGTTTTATAACGTTTATGCTAATGAAGTCAAAAAGTTAAGAAAAAAAATAATATGAGCTTTCATTATGAGTGGTTCTCATTCGATTTTTTTTTTTTTTAATGTCAGATCTTTTGCATATAGTTTTATCTTGCATTTCTGTAATAGGCCTATTGAACCCCTGATTTCTTGGGTGGGAGATAGAAGCACAACTACAGTCTCGACCGAACGTAATATTTTTCTCAAAGTATATATTATTAAATATGTATAAAATAATAAGTTTAAAATCCAATTATTGATATTTGAAGTAGTCATTTTAAAATGAGCAACTTTCACATATAGCAAACACAAAAATCATATTTGTATGTTATAACTATAGTTTGCATAATTGCGCTCCATAGAAAACATAAATATGTATATTTCGCTATACATATACAAAAGAAAACAGTTATATAATTTCGCTATACTATACAAAAGAAAGCAGTTGTATAATCTGCTTTGGTATACACATACAAAAGATCAATTGTATAATCTGTGTTTGTATAAAGCGAGAAAGAGAGAAAGACAAAAGAAAACTTGGCACGAGAAGATCATATTTGTATAATCATAAGTGTATAAGACGAAAATATATGCATTTGTATATACAATTTTCTCTTGCTTTATACAAACACAAACACAATGTATACATTTGTGTTTGTATAAAGTGAGAGAGGCGAGTGAGCGAGCGAGATCTGGGAGAGTGGCGAGCGAGATTTGGGAGAGCGGTGAGCGAGATCTGGGAGAGGGGAACAAAAATATATGTATATATACAATTTTCTCTCGCTTTATACAAACACAAGCACATTTTATACATTTGCGTTTTGTATAAAGTGAGAGAGGCGAGTGAGCGAGCGAGATATGGGAGAGTGGCGAGCGAGATCAGGGAGAGGGGAGAGAGGGGAACGAAAATATATGTATATATACAATTTTCTCTCGCTTTATACAAACACAAACACATTTTATACATTTGTGTTTGTATAAAAAGCGAGAGAGGCGAGGGAGAGAACGAGAGTGGCGAGCGAGATTCACCAGGAGAGAGGCGAAATAGCAACAGTTTGCTATGGGGTACAATTAAATCAAACTATATTTATAGCATTTAATTTAAATTAATAGTTTGTTATTATATACAATTTTCCCTTTTAAAATTTAGAATACATAAAATTAAAATTTTGACTCCGCCTCTGAACACAAAGATAACTTCTACTTGAAAAAAGGCTTTCTTTTTATGTGATAGAAAACAAAGTTTAACATAAACCACCCACCTCAATAATGAGAAGAAGGTATTATATTCGGAAATTTGGTGCACATTTATGTATGTGTTAGATAGTAAAACAAAAACATATGTTTTAGGCCAATCAGAAGATGGGGATGTGACGAAAGATGAAAAAGATAGTTCCAATGGGAAGGGAATCTTGAGATGGAAATCCTCCTCAGAATCTATTAGATTTCATAAAACAGCACATTATCCAATGAAGATTCCTTTTTCCATTGGTTTTGGAGGTTGATTTTGTGCTACTCTAATGTTTTTTTAGCATTTGATAATACCCCACATCTAGAGCAGAATTTATTCCCATTTTGTGTTAATGTAATATTAACAATGTATTACGAGGATTCATCATGAATTAACAAATTTTACATTGATTGTTAGTGCACCGCAACCTTCCTCCTTTATCAGGATTTGGAACAAATTTAGTGTACCGCAACCTTCCTCCTTTATCAGGATTTGGGACAAGTAATGTGGAATGATGAAATAGAGAGGCTATCCCTCTAGGGTGAGTCTCCATACACCTCACTCTCCCTAGATCCCATTTGTTGGACTATACTGGATATGTTGTTTTGCACACATCTTGCCAATTGAACCGATACCTGCCGTCTCCTATAGGTAATCTGTCCACCAAGGCTTAGACAAATGAGAAAAAACCACCTATCTTTTTAGTGAATCCGTTGGGACTTGAACCTGAAGTAACATGATTCTCCTTCCACTTAATTGACCATTATAGGCCACAACCTCGGGTGCTTTTGAGAACTAATTAAATGGAAAATGCAATTTAGGGACTAGCAACTTATATTTCAATCTTGCTGGTTAAAGATGAATATGAACAAGTTGTAGAACATAAAAAAAATTTGATTGTGAAAATTTACATACAGAAACTATTATAGACTATACTATAAGAAACATGAATAAAAGTTAACAGTGAGCAAATTTACAGACAGAAAAAGTGGCATCTTCAGTAAGTGATCACTTTGTTGCAGATGCTTTAGCTAAGATCAACTTGTAACTTGATTGACATGTATAACAGTGTAAGAATGGCACCTTGTGGAAATGGAGCATATCTAGCAACATTGGATCCGACCCACACAGCAATAACCACCAACGCGACTACGCTACTGCTTGTTTTGCCACAAAGCCAACTTGCAAAAGAAAGGCATAATGTAAGTAGAACACCACCTCTGCCTCCCAAAATCCATGCAACTAGGTAACCAATCTTGTATCCGGAGTCCAGCTTTCGATCAAGCAAGGCCATGAGGCTACTAAATGTCAAAGATAGACGAATACCTATGGTGTACATTAGGAATAAAGAGAGGAAGGCAGATCTGAGCACTTCCGCGAATGGACCTCTTTCTTCATCTAGAGTTTCTTCTTCAGACTCCTTGACTTCATCATAATAAGAAGAGAAGTTTTCCCCTGTATGATACCTTTCCCAGTATCTCTCTTTTTGCATTTTTCGTCTGAGATCAGCCCACCTATAGGTCCTTATGCCATCGGCATATTCAAAGTCGTCTTCCCAATATCCCCCTGAAGGCCTGTCAGTATAATCCTGATGTCGAAGCACCTGATCATACTGATTTCTTGATGATTCATTAGATAATACCTGACAAAGCCAGACTCAGCCTTTATTACACAAAAACTGTCATGAAAGCAAAAGTATTAACATTTGAGACAACTAGCAGTGTCAAGTTCAAAAAATATATAGTTAAGAGAAAAAAATACAATGTTAAGTTTAATGCATAGATGTAAATGCCATATTTTTTAAACAAGTTGTATCTAGGAAAACACGTGTAACTTTTATTTTTACAACCAAATATTCTATAAGGGTTGTTCTTATAATATACATGTATAAATCATGTAGCAATAGTAGTAAGCAACAGTTTATCCGCTAGGTGGCCTCTAGACAAAAAATCATCAATCACTTGGTGCATTAGTTTACACTCCAGTTTAGGAAAAAGAGTTAACAGAGTATCGACCTTTGAGACCAATTCAATTTCCAGATATTTTCTTCCATATCCAAGCAATGAAAAACGCAATACGACAAAGAGAATACAAAAAAAATAGTTGATCTGTGATCATTTGAGTGATCATTTGAGTGTTGTCAAAGGTGCGCTTAAGCCATGGCCCATGAAGTGGCACAAAACATGTTAGTGTTTCGCTTCACTTAGCGGGTGCTTCAGCGTCATTTTAACTTTTAAGTCTCTATGACATATTTTTCCTCTGCCAATAAGCTAATCCTAAAGAGGCGACAATAAACATTTGATAATTCGCTTTCTCATAATTTCTTTGTCCATATATTTATAATTATTAATCTTGGACTACTCAGACATATTTGTATTTTTCTCCATTTGCGGCTTTCTTTATTAAAGCACACACTTTAATTGAGTTTTGCGCTTAAAGCCCCAATGGACCTTAGACCTTTTTTTACACTTTTTGCCTTTGATAACAGTAACTGCAATAGCTCACTATTGTGTGATAAACGCGTAACTGAAGCTATTACTTTGCCAGCAATATAATAGATACAAACTTCTTCCTTTTAAGCTATTTCTTAGGGTGCTTGTGATACCTAGTATCAGGAAAACTTTTAGAAACTATTGTGAGATACTATATTAACATGAATTGCTACATCAATCTCCTGCAGCGTTCCAAAGTTGATCATATCAGCATAGAGACTAGAAGTTACAGAACCAGTGGCTGGAAATTGACAGTTTTAAAGCAGAGACATGACTATGTACAATTCAAATTATGTATCCATCTCTCGGTGTGTGTGTGAGTAAGAGAGAGAGAGAGAGAGAGGGAAGGAAGAAGAGCATTACAGAAATATGTATAAACGGGAATGCTATGCAAGAATATTAGTATAAAAGATACCTCCACTTCCATTTTCCCCCTCTCCTACTCACCCCGTCCCCAGGCAAAGGTGCCAACCCACCTTTCTCACTCTCAAGAGGGTTTAAATGACAGTGTCAAAATACACAACAGCTTAAATATGAATTCTAAGTTCAATAAATAAGAGATAAATATACTGAAAGCCAAGAAGGAGTGACTCACATCATATGCATGATGGATTTTCTTGAAAACCTCATCAGCTCCTGAATCCTTGCTAACATCAGGATGATACTGCATTTATGATGTAAGAACAATTATTTTGAGAATGAGAGTCAGTAACTTTTGAACTGGAAATTGATAGTATAAGACAAAGCTTTTCAAAAAAAGAAGATCACAAATGCAGGAAAGGGAAGAGGGATTTCTTCACATCATTCGGAAAGAAACATGCACACTACCTTACCCGGAAAAGTTCCAATCTTTTAGAGAAGAACATTGTACTTGAGAACAGCATTGAAATGTAACCATACAAGAAGGCAATCCTTTTGTAAGCCAACAGAAGTTCAAGACAATAGAGCCAACCATATTGACAACAGACATGAAATATAATAATTCATGCCTTTTTACCCTGAACAAAAAAATTCCATAGCTCCACAATCTTAAAAAGATATTTTGGCAGATAAGCAGGACAAAGCAACAACCACTATAACCTCATAGGACTGTTTGTCAATGGCAAACTCTGTTCGGAAGGAGGAGAAAAAGGTAGGCATTGGTTGAGGTGATATATTGTTCTTCTCCTCCTCTTGTTTGTATGACAGGTCAGGAAGTAACTGAAATACATCCTACTTTCTATCTCATTCCATATTATATGTGAAACCTTCACGTTGTTTATTACTCCCTCCGTCTCAATTAAGTGTTTTACTTTCCTTTTTGGTTTGTCACAAAAAGAGTGTCTCTTTCAATATTAGAAAGTTCTTTCAATTCCAACATTCTACATGGTAAGTTTAAGACCACAACATTTTAAGGACTACACACATCTTTAATTTAAGACCACAACATTCAAAAGTCTTCCTTTGTTTCTTAAAATCCCGTGCCTAGTCAAACTAAGACACTTAAATTGAGACGGAGGGCGTACCACATTTCTGCTTCAGAAGTTTCTCATAATGATAATGCTTTACCCAATTAAAGTATGAAGCACTTCATCTCAAATTCTCACTCACCGTTGCCTTAAATAATTCTCAGTTACAATCTTTTCTAAAAAGAAGAACTAGAATGATACATCAATTAAATTATTATTATTTTCATTATTTCGTTAGGTAACTAATCAGTATTGTCAAACAACAAAGGCAATTAAATAAAGCAACAAAAATTGCTAGTCAGGTATCCAAAAGCCAAAGGTTCAATTGTGTTATAATATCCAATAACTGCCTAAAATGCCTTCTCCTTTCCTCCTCCTTGTATATTTCTATGAAACATCTATGCCAAAAGGGTCTGATGGTACCTTGAGAGCAAGAAGACGATAGGCCTTTTTTATATCAACAGAAGAAGCATTGTGTGGAACACCAAGCACACAATAGTGGCTCTGCTGCCCGCCACCAATAGCAGATGCTGAAACTTGGGTACGAGGGTGAAAAATACCTATGCGTTTGTTAGGCCATGCCCATGGTCCAAAAGATAAGTTCTGGTTGGAGCTACCACCTTTATCAATAGAAGTGGGAGCCAAAAAGAGATAGGTCTGCATGTTATGGACTGCTCTTATTTAATCTTCCATTGCTACCTTGAGTTCTGCAATACCTGCGGAAATGGAAAAATACAAAATACTCAATAAAAGAACACTTCTATGAGCATCATATTGGATAAATTGTTTACATCATATTTCCTTACAAATATTCATTCTTTATCTTACAACTAGCATAAGGGTATGTTAAGAATGCTTGTGAGATTCACAAAGTGATCATTTTTAGCGTCTCGGGCAAAAATCCTCAGCTACGGCTTACAGGTTCAACCGAACCAAGTAGTTTTGGTTCAAATCCTATATTTGTCTTTAAAAAATCCACGGAATACATAAACATTACTAATTTAGAACCCAATAACTTCAAAGAACTACAACAACAACAACAACATACCCAGTGTAATCCCACAAGTGGTATCTTGGTAGTGTAGAGTGTACGCAGACCTTACCCCTGTCTCGTGGAGGTGGAGAAAAGAACTAAAATCCCGAATGCATAAAAATCAAATCTTGGCTCTGCCTCTGCTACCACATATCTAAGAGACAGTAATCATTCTTCTAATCCCCATTTCAAGGATAAACACAGACAGCAAATTCAAACGGCCATTATAAAACCTAAAGGTCCTCATTTGTAATACTCACACTGTATAATTCAGTAGTAATTACAAAAAAGATGATAACTTTAACACAATTAACCAAAAAAATTACAGAAAAACACTACTAAATTATGGTAAAATTTAATAGGCAAATACCCAAATAACTCTCAGACCCATAAACAAAGATACACAGCATAATCAAAAATCAAATTCATAAAAGAAGAAAATAGAAAAAATAGCATAAATTACCTGTTGAAATCTCAAGCAGGTGAAAAATGAGCGATTAAAGAAACCCCAAAAGAGAAGAGACAGAACAGTAGTCCGATGATCTAGATGAAAAAATTTCTTCTTTGGTCATAATAGAAAAAATAATTTTAAAAAGATAAAATAAATAAATTAAAGCGATTTTCTTTGTTTTTTCCCCTTCTTTTATTTATTGAAAAAAAAACATATATTACTACCTTACAATATTACAAACAAAAAGCATAAGATATGGGATAGAATTGGTAGGGTAAGTAGTAAAATATGATTATTAACTTGTAAGTAGGATCAAGAGGTATTGTATTCAAGTTGTTGATATGAAAAAAAAAATCTTATTAGGAGCGTCAAGAAAAAATAGTTATGTGGCTCCAATCGGAAAGGAAATTGAAAGGAAAAAAAATATAATAGGTAAGCGCAAGATGAAAGGGTTTATGTAGCTTTTATGTCCGCATTCTTTTGAGTTAGAGTCACGATAAATTTGACGTCAATTATAAAAGAGAGAATTCACTTTAGATAGTCATATTTTTATTATGTAGCTTGTGAAGTGGCTGAAAATGGCATTTTTTGAATATATAATGCAGGTTGAGAGTAAAGTTACAGAAAAAAAGAAGAAGATGTTTAATGAAAAACTACTTTTACATTCGATTTAAAGATTACCTATTGTTTTTATTGAGAATTCTTCATTTTCTTTCGTGTGAATTTTTCAGCGACGAATTCAAAACTTGTGGAGACTTATACTCAACTGTTTCCTTTATTTCATAACTTGGTCATTGAATTTCTTCCTGAATAATACTCCCTCCGTCCCATTTTATACGTCACCTTTTTACTTTGTATTTGCATTAAGAAATGATGTAATTTTACCCTTCTACCCTTATTTAATGTTTTCTTAAGTCAACTTTAATTAACTATTCTATCAAGGGTATAATAGATAAAATATGGTAATTTATGCATAAATTTTATAAAATGACAAATATTATGGTCAAACTATTTATAGGAAGGAATGACATATAAAATGGGACGGAGGGATATACGCTCTAAAAGTAAACTTAAGAAGAAGTCTAGAGATTTTTGTGTTTGCGTGATGGCTATATATGCATTGAATGATAATTAGTTTGACAAGTATAAAATTGTGCTTTCAAAGTTCCAATTCAATATCTATCATATCCTACAGTTGCATAGTCAAACATTGTGATAAGATCTTTTAAATAATAAATAAATAAATAATAATAATTACGTCTCAATGTCAAACAAGTTAACCCTAATTACGTAATGTTTTATTACATATTATTGTTTATGTAATCAATCTGAGGTCAGATAGAAAATAGACATCACAATAGGTGTATCATTAGGATAAAAACTCATCAAATTATGACGACTTAAAAGTAAATAAATATTACAAGACATACTCTATTCATTTCACTTATATAACAATAACAAGAGCATAATTGTACCAAATTATTAATGAAATTTAAATATTACTAATTTCACATTTTTTATCCTTTTCTAAATGAGAAATAAATACAATAAAGTAATGACATTTATTTTTTTCCTTTTTAAAACCCACAATTTTAATTTAAGAGAAAAAAATAATAATTACCATTTCTAGCCTTTCCTTTTTTTTTTTTTTTCCCTAATAATAAAACATAAACTAATTTCCCTTTAAAATTTTGTTTTTTTCCCTTTTTCTCCCACTTTCCTATCCCTAAGCAAGTCTCCAAACAAACCAAAACAAGAAAAAACACCTCATGTCAATCCATTGACACCTACAAAATCTTGCAAAGAAATTCAGCATAAAAAGTGAATAATCAAAGAGAAGAAATTTCAAAAAAAAATTTGGACAAAATGGTGTTCAGTAGTCCAATAATTGTTGGTGTGGCTAATGTATCTGCAGATTTGTGTCAATACATAGCTTGTAACCCAGAAAGACTCAGCAGTGATGAAGTCCTTTATCTTCTTTTTTGTTTTCCATGTCAACAATTTAGGAGATTTGCTCTTTGTTTATGGACTTTTTTTTGCTTTCCTTTACCAAACCCTTATCTATCTTTTCCTTCTTTTTCATCATCTTCTTCTTCTTTGTCTTCAGATTCTGATTTGGATCTTGAAGATTCACACCCACATGCCTATTGATGCCTAGTTTGTAGTCAAAGTTATAGAGAAGTTTCAATTTTTGTCTATTTTTCCCTGTTCAGAACAAAAACATGTAATTTTGATGGTTTGATTGTTAATTTTATTGTAGTTCTTGGTTGATTGTAATGATAAAAAGGCCTTAAGGCTGATTTTGGTAGCTTTATTTGGTTGAAGATTTCAACTTTGGGTCTTTTTGTGAATACCCCACATGCAAAGTTTTAATTTTTTGTTCAGATTAATGGTTTGGGTGTTGTTTTTGTTGTAGTTCTTGGTTGGTTGTAATGGGAAAAAGTCCTTTAGGCTGATTTTGGTGTCTTTATTTGGTTAAAGATTGCAACTTTGGATCTTTTTGTGAATTCCCACATGCCAAGTTTCAGTTTTTTGTTCAGATTGATGGTTTGGTTGTTATTTTGTTGTAGTTCTTCATTGGTTATATGGGGTGGGGGTGGGGGGGGGGGGGAGGCCTTTAGTCAGATTTTGGTATCTTTAGTTGGTTAAAGATTTCAACTTTGGATCTTATTGTGAATGCTCTCATACCAAGTTTCAATTTTTGGTTCAGGTTGATTTGGATCTTGAAGATTCACATCCACATGCCAACTAATAGTTCTAAGTTTGTTTGTTTGTTTTGGATACCAAGAAAAAATAAGAATATGTATGGTTTGATTGTTAGTTTGTTGCAGTTCTTCATTGATTATACAAAAAAAAGACCTTAAGGCTAAAAATTACATTTTTGGATCTTTTTGTGAATACTCACATGCCAAGTATCAATTTTTGTTCATCTTGTTCTTCTTGGTCCTCATATTCTGATTTGTATCTTGAAGATTCACAGCCACATGCCAATTGATGCCTAATAGTAATATTTTTCATTTTCCTATCAACAAATACTTTTGATAGTCTGATTGCTATCTGCTGTGTTTATACTTTCCTTGAGCCGAGGGTCTATCAATAACAACCTCTACATGAACAAGGTAGGGGTAAGATTTTCGTATGCACTGTTCTCCCCAGAGCCCACTTGTGGGATTACAATGGATATGTTATTGTTGCTATGGATGATAGTCTGATTGTTATTCTGTTGTTTAACTTTTCCAGATTGATTTTGATATATCAATTGGTTACATATTCTATTTTTGGTTCTTTTTTGTCAGTGAGAAGATTAACTTTTGGTTGGTGAATTTGAGGATTGTGTTGTTGCTTTTGCTGCTTGAGTTCTGGTTATTAATTTTGTGGGCATATTTTTGGGAATCAATAACAATGGTTTAAATGTGGAAACACTGGAAACAATATATTTGGCTGGATTACCTCTTCTATACCGTGGATATTTGTTTAGCAACGGTGAATTAAATGTGTGTCGTAGGACCCTCTAAAAGTAAGGCATATTTGGAGAATCTAACATGGTGCGGCGATATTTTAGGAGAGTTAGAACAAAATATATTTTGAGTCATCTTATTAGGAATTATTCTGATGTCAATTTTGTCATTTTCAAGGACCACTTTGGTTGATAGTTATATTCTTGATATTATCCCTTCAATTTTCAACTCAAGCACATATTTGAGGTATCAAGGTATAACTTTCTTTGTTATCTGTAAACATGCTTTAATTGAAATTTGTATTCATAAGTTAACCCCCCCTTCTCTTCTTACTTAATTGAATTACACTTATTGAGGTACCTAATTGTCTTCACTAGTAATTTCCTCATTGCATCTTCTTTATTTTTAAGCGTTGTTTCTCTTATCAGTAGTATACTATCGTATCCTTAGTCCTGTGAAATATGTTGCTTGAATTCTTCAAAAATGTCGTTAGGTATGTGTCAAATTCTTTAAAAGTAATGCATTGTATGAGGATTCAATACGAGTGTGATGTTATATTTGGAGAATCCGAACAAACCAGCTTCACATGTTTGGTTCTTTAGTTCTTATCCATCTTTATTAGAACTTTGACATAGCAGTGTCATCAATTCTGATTGCAGACCATAGTTTGTCTGCATCACTCTGTTTTGCAGTAACTTTGATTGCCCGGACTCTTAAAAGATGTTGTCATGTGCGTGTTGGATCATTCAAAAGTAATACATTTTTTGGAGGATTCGATACAGGTGCAAGAGTCCAAGCAATGCTTTGTAGTCTTTAAATTTCTGATAAATCTGCAAATTTGTTTTACAATACTTCACACCAGCAGGAGAAATGTCATTCTCCATTGTTTTTTCATATTTCAATGCTTGTTTTTTCTTGGTTGCAGTTCTGAGATAGCATAATACATAAACAAATACTCAAATTTGACCTCAACTGGCGACAAATACTTCAATTTTAAGTATGCATATTTAAACATCTTAACTCACTTTTACTACAAAAATGATTACCTATATATTTTTAAAATTTATGTGTCACTTCAATATTGTGCGTTAAGTGTCCATATAGAAAATAAAAAGAATACCATATAATAAAGTGAACCTCCCCTAGCCTTAGGCCATAATTTGCCAAGACAATACTCCTTGACAGCAGAGAAAATCATCCACACAGCTCAATACACCTCTCCACCACCCAATTACTCCAATATTTTAATTCATAAAAAGAAAAACTTTCAAATTTTACCCTTTGAGATATCATTTTAGTATTATTATTATTTTCAATTCGATGTTTGATATTTATAATGGAGTTCGATTAAATTCAAGTTTATATCAGGAAATATCATATTGTGGGAGATATCATCTCCTCTAAGACTTTTAATTAAGTGAGAAGGTATTGCCACTTCATCGCAACTCTTATGATGATAAATTAAAGTATAATATTCAAAATACTATAAATTTGAAAACATTTCATCTTTTCCCTTTATTTTATGATTTTGTAGCCATAAAAATAAAAACTATATATTTAATTTCTTTATAATTAATGAATATCAAGTGAACCCCACAAATGAGCCAATATATCATGGCTACAGCTGTATGACATACCAAAGGCCAATCAGCCACCCTGTCAGCTAACGGGCAGCATATAAGCCTCAAAAAATCAATAGTTCCAAATAATTTGCCCAATTGATATATTTGGTTGATCGATTAAAAATAATTATAGTAATTAAATAAATAAAAAATATATACACTATTAGGTATAAATACCCAAATTTTATGTATAATGTTTTAAATATGTAATCGACATATTTTTTTTAATTATTATTTTGATGAGCGAATAATTATATATATGAAAATTTTGAAATTTTTAAGGCATATATGTAGTTGGACTAACGGTCTCTTCGGGCAGCACTGCCCGTAATATTATACACACATCATTTTGTCTATAAATTTTTGCTTTTTTCTTTCTTTCAACAATTTGTTTGTGAATTGTGCTATTTTTTCTCTCAAAAAATAGTTTAATTTCTTTAAATTTTGCAACAATGGAGGCAATGAAGATGAATGTTTTGTTGGTGGTTGTGATGATTGTGTTGGTAGCCTTGTCTGAAATTCAAAATGTAGTTGCAGCGGATGCGCCTGCTCCTGCTCCAGCCTCGGATGCTACCCTATTCATTCCTACCGTTTTTGCCTCTCTTGTAGCTCTTGCATTTGGAATTCTCTTCTGATTGAGCTAGCTTGTATGGACGTCGACTAATGAAGCGATAGTTCTTTATTGAGTCAGACTAATGAAGCGATAGTTCTTTATTGAGATAGACTATATGTGATATGTGTAGATTTATTTATTTTTGGTTATTTCAACTCAATGTGTTAGATCATTGAGATGAAGAGTTTGAGATTCATTTGATTGTATTGTTATATATTTATATCTCATTGTGATATTGTCACTTTGCACATATAAACTTATGTTGTTATACTTTATAATATGTGATTTTTACTCTTTAATTTCTCCTTTTCCATCAAACAAAAACAATATTGGAAACTTGTGGAGTGAAAATTAGTTTTTTTTTTTTCACTAATAAGAGTTGGGATGACTCATTTTACTCTAAATTAAATAAACATTATGATGTTACGTTTAAATTCTTCTCAAGGTTGTTATATATAGCAACAGCACTACATATTACAAAAAGAGGAAAAAGATGATTCAAATTCTAAGGCTTTTTGTGAGCTTTTTTTTTTTTTTTAACCGTGGTTTCCGGGCGTCGCTTTGCGAACCCGACTAGCTATACCCACCGGGTCCCGCTGTTTCAAGGCGGGTCCACCACGGTTAGTTCCACGGGGCCCTGGAGACACGGCCGGTTTGTAATGCCTCCAGTGGCCCTGCTGGGGCTCGAACCGGCGACCTGAAGGACTTTGTCCCAGGCCTTTACCAGCTGAGCTACCCCTCAGGGTTTTGTGAGCTCAAAAGATAACTACATATAAATATATATCACAAGAAGTACAATAATTATTAATCAGAAAAGGAAAACAAATAATTTGTGATAAAAAAAATTAAAATACATACAGAAGTTTTTCTATATTGTGCTTACAAATTTAATATTTTTTTTTAAAAAAATGGGACTATTATTGGGAATCAATTTGGATAGTGCTTTCTTCTACACCTCACATTTTGTCGGTGTAAGTTGTTCGAAGCATGTGGGATTGCCTCTTTTTTCTTTATCTATTTAGTTTTAGTTAGGGACTCTTTTTTTCTTTTTGTCTGAGAGTATAGTGAAATCAATTTTTACGCTCACAAAAATAAAAAATAAAATCTGCATACAATTTAATCTTTTTAAACTTCACTTGTCAAAATGTATCAAGTGTTATTATTGTAACGTAGGCGTTGGAGGGTGGAAAAGAGATAGTAAGCTTAGAAAATCTCTTATGAAATTTATTTTTCAATAAAAATAATATATTTTGATCTTATTAGTTATGAGAATTGAAAAATCATATCAAACATGCCTACATAATTCAAGTCAAAGTACATAGATACCCGATTTCAAAATCACTATTTAAGCCATGTTCATAGTGCAAACACACCCCCAAGTCCATACCCATTTCGCATGAGGTGTTTGAAGTTTTATATGTCAACATTTCAATCTTTTAACTAAAGTTCAGATATTTTTACGTGAATTTCATGCACACTTATGACTAAAGTTCAATTATTTTACTTGAACATCAATTGTAGATAACTTTTTAAATATTTTTATACTTGAAGTTACATTTTTATCAAGGCTAATTCCAAACACCAACGTAGGGGTGTGCATTCGGTTTTTCGGTTTGGTTTTATACTATTTGGTTTAGGCTTTTTGGTTTTTGGTTTTGAAGAAGTGTAACCCAATCCGAACCAAAATAAATTTGGTTTGGTTTGGTTTTTCTTTTTTTGGTTTGGTTAATCGGTTATGTCAATAGTTAAAAACATAACAAAGTTATATTTGCAATACATATATATATATATATATATATATATATATATATATATATTATTAAATTTCTTAAATATACTTTTTAATATAAATCTCAAGTAAAACGTAAAACACAATGCTTAAAAGTATATCAATTATAGATGTCCAAACATAAAAAAATAAACTAAATCATAATGAAAAATAACTAAAAAGGGATAAAAGTGGTTAACTCCAACTTAATTCTAAACATATATATATAATATAATTTGGTTTTTCGGTTTTTATTTTTCTAAATCCGAAACAAAACCAAAAAACCAAACAAAATAAATTATAAATCCATAACCAAACCAGAAGTCCAAAAAACCAATCCAAATAATGCACACCCCTACACCAACGTATCTAAACTAGTCCCAATATGAACAAACATGCAAAAATTTATAAAAAAATGTTTACATGTTAAATAGCGATGTCCAAATAACATACCCATCTTTTCATATTCTTCTATTGGGCCCAAAATAGGTAATGTCGTTGGGCCAACCCAATTGTTGGATTTTACTCAATGAAACCCTAAACCCTCTCAATAAAATCATCATATCGTACTCATAATTCACCAGCAACAATATCACAATACTTCACCAATTCCAATTCACCTTTGCCTTCTTCTTCGTGTTCTTATGTAATTTGTAGTATTTATGCATAAATTATTTTTACCAATTGCCTCTTTGAGTAGCCATATGGACAAATTTTAGTTTCATATTTTGGCTTAGTTAGGAGGCAGAAACTAAATCTTTTGATGCTTTCAATTAAGACCTTTTGAAAGAACTCTTTTTAGTTCTTCTTCATCAATTGTCCTTCAAGCATCTTTTGGACACCCACTTCTTGAAATCTTCTAAAGAAAGTTTTCAAAAAAAATAATTATGGTGTTTTTAAAATCCAAAAGGGTATTAGAATTGATTAGTAGTTTTTAGTTTTTGCCTCAAAGATTCAATCTTTGGTTCTTCATGTAAATTTTTTTTCTTAAAAAAATAAAATCCAATGAGGATGGTGTTGATAAAATCCAAAAGGGTATATGAATTGAGTGTTAGTTATTAATTTTTGCCTCAAAAGATTCAATCTTTGGATCTTTTTCACTTTGTTCTTCTTTATTAATTTTTGCCTCAAGAATTCCCTAATGAGTTATTGAAAAATTCATTAGGTTCAGACAGGGGCATATAGTAATATTTTGAGAATTAAATCTTGAGCTGAAAAGTTTAAAGATTTGTTCTTTAATGAATTTAAGTTTGAGAGGTTTGAATTGTTTCTTTCCTCTCATCTGTTCCTTTTCTATAGGTTCTTTCATACATTCAATAAATTTAAAGATTGGATCTTTATAATATTTGTTGAGTTTACATTATTGTTTTGATTTGATGAGGCAGATGATGATTTATTATTATTTCGACTGATCAAACTTTGATGATCCAAAATTCGAGCTTTTTAAAACTGATGCCTCTCATTTTTATAATTCTTTTTAGTCTTTAGGAACTAAGATTTAGTTTAACTTAATTCGATATAACTATCGAGTATAGCTTAGCCTTTATTCGGCCTAAAGCTAATTAAAGCTATATTTATATAAATATCGAGTGCTGTTAAGTATTTAATGACTCAAGCCAAGTATATATATCTTGAGGCAGATGATGAATTATAATTATTTGGACTGATCAAACTGTGATGATCCAAAATTCGAGCTTTTTAAAACTGATGCCTCCAATTGCCTTGAGGTTTTAACCTAAAAGATATTGAGAATTATACGCCTTGATAACCATCCTCTAAACCAAATGAATTGAGTGACGTACTCTAACTTGTGTTATAACAGCATTATTATATCCCTATTTTTGTGATATTACAACATCATGTCTTAGTTTTTGAAGCTAGAGACTCGGTATAGTTAATTTTCTATCTATAAACATTGAATATGATTAAATATTTAATTGACTTAGGGGAGCTTTGATCAATCTAAATTATTGTAGGGAAATAATTTAATTGGTAGGTCACTAGTCACTATTCAAATAAATATCATTTTATACTGAATTTGTTTGACTAGTTCGATCAATCCCTTTCTTTATTTCTACTGAATATTTAATAAAAATAAAATATCTACCCAACTTGGTTGAAACATCTTAATTTAAATCAGTTTATCCGTAATATTGGTTTTCTCAGTCTCCACTAATAGCAACAATTGTTTACTAGTTATATTTTATATAACTTGGACTATCAGGTATATAACTTAAATTTCGTTTAAAAAAGACAAGGCGCAAAAAACATACAAAAACACACATGAAATTCACCACAAAATTTAACATTCATGGAATAATATTGCATTTATCTTAACCATACACCAATTTCTCATAATAGAAGACTTTACTATAAGCTCTGTAGAATCTTGGAATTATATACAACATTATAATAAAAATCCTATATTTATGTACTAGAGTTTGATAGCACAAAGTTAACTGACACTTATTCTCTAGATACCGTCATTATTGCTTCTTCTTTGGAAAAAAGAAGTTTACGATCCGTGGACCAAACATTTAAAGAGCATCATAGTAACCTCCAACTGTAATGTGTGCTCTTGTTACTGGAACGCCTCTCACTGCTGAAATTGCTTCATTCAATCTTGTTGCATGTTGAACTACACGCTTGATCCTCTGCATTAATCCCACAAAACAAAACAGGTTTCTTAGATCGGGTTCACTAAATATTAGCGACAACAACAATAACATACCTAGTGATGATGTTGGAACAATTATTATAATACGATGAGAACACCTTATTAGCAAAAAAATCATGATTTCCTCGTGGGGACCTTGGGAAGTAGAGAGGTTATTTTCGATCTACCAAATATGAGTTCTAGAGAATGATAAGACTGTGTAGACCTGATTCCTTTTTATGGATCGATCACGAATAGGGAGCAGAATCGTATCGAGGGTTGGAGTTAGGGGTGTTGAAGCCCCCTTCCTGAACTAAATCTGCCTTAGGGATCGGGGTCAGGAGGTGAAGGGGATCCAAAGCTGCCCGATAGGAAGACTATTAGATTGAGTCGAAAGTCTACCAATATAAAGGTTCTAATTCGAGTGGGAGCCCAAACAAGTGAGCCAAGAAGATCTTGATTGAAAGCTCCACTATTCTAAATAGTGAGAGAATGAAATTCAATCAAATCAATCGAGAATCTCATCCTATGTTAAGTGGGCTAACCAAATAGAATAAAAGGTTTGATTCCTATCATAGCCAGAGGTGTAAGGTTCAAGTCTCTCAAGACACCTATTTGGGTTCAGG